AGGCCGTAGCCTCAATCGTGGATTCCGTTAATGGAGGTTTCCCTATTCGTCTCCATGACGCTATATCCAGTATCGATACGGAAGCTCCGGTATCTAGTTCACACGCTACATCAGTACCCTGAATTTTTATCTTCAACATGGCGGCCGGTTCTACTCTTGACCTTGCGACACGGCAGTCGGTCTCCCGATCCTCGCATTTCCTTGGATCGTCGAACCAACTGATCTTGGGCCGTCTTGCTTACTTCCGTCTGGTACACTGACTTATCCAGCTCTTCTCTACGACCCTGACGCGCCTTATGAGTCAGCCTATCTATATTGTTCTCACTACTATCTGCTTCGTCAAGGTCGGAGGTGCTGGGCTCCGCACACCAGTTAATCCGGCGGGAGACTTTCCTTGTGTTCGCCAGCCTTGTTCTACATGCTCTAGCCATGTGTCCAGGTCGGGAGCAAACCGTACAAAATGATGTTTGCCGTTTGAAGCACTGATAAGCGGCATGCCCCTGACCTCCACAACATGTGCATTGCACTACAACGGCTGAGCGGTTGTTCACTCCTTTTGCCTTATTTCGCGGCTGTTCCTTATCACGATTTCTACTTAAGTATGGCCTAGCTCTGGAGGGCGGTAAACTTTGTTTCGGCTTCTGCAGCAACTTCTCTTTCTTAGCCTGCACCACGGAGATACCCACCTCTTGGAGGCCTTCTTTCAAGTGTGGCGCGTTCTTTCCAACCCTTTCAAAAGCCTCTGCAGCCTCCAAGGCCTCCTTCGAAGTTAGGTTTTCCCGTTCTAGAAGCCGTTTCCTGGTTTCTACAGAGGTCAACCCTCCTATAAAAACCATGGTGACCATCGCATCTCGATGGTCTTTTATTTTTTCGAACTCACATCCTGCTGCTGCTTTCTGCAGTTCAGCGTAGTAATCCTGCAAGGCTTGACCGGGACGCTGCGTGCGAGACATCAAACCATAACGTTCGGCCAATATCAGTTTCTTGGGTTGAAAATGGCCAGCCATCGTGTCGCTCAGTTCCTTCAGCGTTACTTGTTCCGGTTCTTTCCCTTGCAGCAGCGATTCTAGCAGCTCATAGTTGCTGCCTCCAATCTCCTGTAAAAATATTAACCTTTGTTCCATTTCGTCACTCACTTTTCTTAATGTGAGAAAGTTATTAAAAAGCCTCCACCAAGTGCGCCACGGCGTGCCCGGCACATACGCGCCAGGGGACCGGCCCCGGTAAACCTCGACTACGGTTCCCGGGTCCATCACTGCCGCCGCCTTGGTGGAGGTTGTACCGTCCTGGGCTGCCATCTTCTTTTGCTTGATGACGTAGTCTTGATCCGATCGATCTTCTCCTTCTTCGCTTCGAATCGCGGAGTCCTTGCCTGATCGCCACTCGATGTGTAGACGACAGAGGGATAGAACTGTTTATTACCAACCACAGGGGGTTTATATAGTGCTGTTATTTATTATTGATTACTTCATCTCCTTCCTTCATTCCATCACTGCTTCTTGAACGTAGCAGTCCACTACCTGAATCAGTCACTTCACCCCCCTACATCTCCCCCCAAGTGACGAAGTCACTTGTTACCTCATCCGTCACCATAACTGTGCACCCCCGCCGGAGAACTCATTTGCTACTCTGCAGTTTCAAGGCTTCACAAACACTTTTATTCTCCACTTTTTTTTACAATCAAAATTCAACACATTTCATTAATTATTCCCTTGGCGCTCTTCCTCCACTCTGCTAGGGCGAGGCTGCGTCGCCTCATCGAGCCTGGCCATGAGCTGGGCGCACATCAGACGTACCTCGCTGAGCTCCTTTCTCAGCGCAACTCGGCGTTCCCTGCGCGGGCGGCGTACTCCCCTTCCACGATACGCACCGACGCCCCTCAGTGGCGGGTTGGTGCCGCGAGCGCCTCCTTGTGCTGCCACCGCTGGCACTCCCTAAATAAACAGTTTCCAACTCTCTCTCACTTACCAACTCTACACCAATTTTTGAGCAGTTACACTCACTCACCTGTCCTTGCGCCGGACTGGTCACTTGAATTACAATCGGTGGACTCGGTAGCGTGGCCATTTGCGCCGAGGGCGTAGTCGGCGGAGGTGGTGGCGGCGGCGCGGGATAGGATGGGGTAGTTGGTACGTACGTCCACATAAATGAGGCATTTACACGTTTCCCCGTTTTTATACTCTTGCCATCCACGTGGCTTGCCACGTCCACCACCTTTACGCTGCCTCTTGTTCTAACAGGTTTCTCCCTCTCTTCCACGTAAGTTCTCATCCGAACCGTGGGTTTACGTGTTCGACTAGATCGCCTTAGCGGTAACACTTGCTCTTGTACGGGAATCCTTTTACCTGTCATCAATGCGTAATCCTCCTCCGACATTATCCTCTCTTTTAATTGATCAGCGTGCGCCTTCCGGCTTCCTGTTCCGAAGTGAACCTCGTATACTCGTTTGCCCACAACCTGTGTTATAATTCCAGGGATCCATTTATCCCCTTTCTGATAGTTACGCATGTATACCTGTTGCCCCACAACGAAGGCCCTCTCTGCTCTACCCCTTCTATCGTAATCAGCCTTCATTCGCTTCCGATAGCTAGTATCACCCAGTGTCTTTCTCTTAGTCTTATGGACATCCAAAGTGGTCCTCAACTCTCTGCCCATCAATATTTCCGCCGGAGACTTCCCGGTGGCTGGGTGAGGGGTTACTCTATATTCAAAGAGTAATCCTGCTAATATATCTCCTGGCTTTTTTCCATCGCGCAATCCTTTGTACCATCCCTTTTTAAAAGTTTGAACAAATCTTTCCGCTTCTCCGTTGGAATTGGGATGGTAAGGTGAGGTTAGCGTTAGTTCAATATTCCTTTCCTGACAGAATTTCTTAAATCGCGTTGATGAAAAAGGTGGTCCATTATCCGATACCATTTGCTCTGGCAACCCATGGTAGGCGAAAATCATTCTCAATTTCTCTATCGTATGCTCCGCCGTAGTCAGCCCCATGCGCACCACTTCCGGCCACTTAGACTTGGCATCCACAATTACCAGCCATTTTTCTCCTCCTTGGGTTTGGCAAAAATCCATGTGTAATCTTTGCCAGGGGTTAGCTGGCTCTTCCCATAAATGTAGCAGCGTTTTCGCTGGGTCGTTGCCAAATACCGCACACGTTTCACATGTCCGAGCAACTTGGGCTATTTCCCTATCTATTCCAGGATACCAAACCTTCCGTCGTGCCAAACTTACCATACGATTTCTACCATAATGGCTGCTATGGAGCATCCTCAGCACCGCTTTCCGGAACTTTGTGGGTACTACTACCCTATTCTCCCACATCAGACACCCATTATAAATCGACATCGCGGCGCCTTTATTTGCAAAAACCTTAAGTCGCTCTTCCACCTTAAGCGGCCAGCCCTTTTTAACATAATATAAGACTTGGGCAAGCTCGGGGTCTTCTGCAGTCGCTTTCGCTACTTCTTCTTCTGATAAAGGCAGGTCAATAAAAGTTTCTCGATCCAACGCTCTCACTTGCAACTCGCCAATCACCATTTCTGCACTTGGTAATTCTCGGGGATCGGGCAGTCGCGACAACCCGTCTGCATTTCCGAATTCTGAAGTTTTTCGGTATTGAATATCGAATGAATAACCCATCAGTCGCAAGGCCCATCTATGCAGTCTTCTGGCCGCTATCGTGGGTAATCCGTTTTTTGACCCAAATATCCTTACCAAGGGTTGATGATCTGTCAGTAGCGTGAACCTCCTGCCATATAAGAATTGATTGAATTTTTCAACGCCATACACAATGCCTAGCGCTTCCTTTTCTATTTGCGCATAATTTTTTTCTTCTTTCGTCAACGAACGAGAGGCATAAGCGATAACTTTCTCTGTGCCATCTTCATATTTATGATATATTACTGCTCCTAATCCATAATCGGACGCATCTGTCGCTAGTACCACAGGCACATCTGGATTGTAATGCGCCAGTATATCGGTTTCCGTGAGCCTTGCCTTTACTTTGTCAAATGCTCTTTGGCGCTCCGAATCCCAGCCCCACTCTGTTCCCTTCTTCCTCAACGCATTTAGCGGGGCTGCTAATGTTGCTAAATTAGGCACGAATTTTCCGTAATACTGAACCATACCCAAGAAGGATTCCAGTTCTTTAATATTTCTTGGTGCGGGCATCTTTACAATTGCCTCTATTTTCCGCGGTGATGGACGTATCCCTTGGGCGTCCACAAGATGGCCCAGAAACTCCATCTTAGTCTTTAAGAATTCACACTTGTTTCGTTTAAGACGAAACCCTGCTGATTTTAATCTCTGTAACACTTGTTCGAGCCTATTAAGGTGAGTCGTATCATCCGGTCCTGTCACCGTGATGTCGTCCAAGTAGATTACGACCCCCTCTATTCCAGCCAATGTTGTTTCCATTATTTTTTGGAAAATTGCTGGAGCAGATGCTATTCCGAAAGCTATTCTATTGTACTCGAACAACCCTTTCTGGGTATTTACTGTGGTATACTTTCCTGGATTCCTTGTCCAGCTTCGACCTGCATGTACGCCTCCGACAAGTCCATTTTTGAGAACTTTTGTCCACCATTTAACATGTGGAACAAATCATCTGGTTTCGGCAACGGATACTGATTTATATCTAATTGCGGATTTATTGTTATTTTATAATCTCCGCATATTCTGATTTTACCTCCAGGCTTAGGAACGACCACTAACGGAGTAGCCCACTCCGAATGGTCCACCTGGGTTAACGTGCCGTTACTTACTAACTCTTTTATTTTTTCTTCCACTTTGGGTCGGAGAGCTAAGGGTACTGGTCGAGCTCTAAAGAACTTTGGTACTGGTTCTACTTTGAACTTCAGCGTAGCCTGTGTTGTTGTACACTTCCCTAGACCAGGCTCAAATAAGGCTTTGTTCTCCTCTAGGATTTTAGCAAGTCTATTTTCAACGTTTTCTCGGGGTTTGTTTTGTACCCCATATACGCTTGGGTAATGCGGCCCACAGTTAATTTCTAACGCTTTAATCATATCTCTGCCGCACAACGTACGAGTAGCCCCTTCTAGCACATGGAGATCCATTTCGGCCTGTTTACCCTTGAACTCGACCGATACAGTGCACTTACCACAGAAATGAAT